AAACTCAACTGTTGCAAAAGCGTCCAATAAATCAGAACTTACTGCACATAAGGAATATGGCATCGCAGGCATTGATGTGTGAAAGGAATGCATTCCCCAATCCTTGTCCTTCGTGAGCGCCTTTTACCAAGCCAGCGATGTCAACGACATTTAAGAATGCAGGAACCTGACTAAATGTGCAAACATACATTCACCTCATTTATTTAATAAATTACGAACAGTCACTAAATAACTGAGCCTGGGAAATTAGCATTCCAAAAAAACTTTAGGAAACAAAACTGATATGACAAGTACCTGTGTGAGCTAAGGCGCGCACTCACCGTAACAGTACAATGAGAAGTACTACACGTAACAGTGACTTAAACTGTTGGCTACTGACCAACACGAAACCTGATTTACCTCTATTTTTAAAAATATGTACAGAAGTTATCAACTCGTGACTACGCGGCAGACCGCAACTATCGTCCTCGGCTACATCAGCCTTCTGAAAATAGACCTTCAAAGGCAGAACTGATGATCGTTGGCACTGGTGCAGTTGGTTAGAAGGCGGCTTTTGCACGCTAGAGTGGAGGTTCAAACGCGCAGCGCGCGGCGTAAGTTTTCTCTTCGTAACTGGCAGTTTCCTTAAGCAAGGAGCTTACATCACTGTTTCGGCGCAACCAACCGAAAAAAGGGAAACAGACCGCTGACCTGTGAATAACAGGGACAACATGGTACTTCAAAGCGGTCATGCCAAGGTATACGAGAGAAACGGCTACGCTGTTCACAGCTGCAAATCGTCTTGACCCTTCTGATAGCTGACTGAAAATCAGCACAGGGAAAAAACATCAATTTTTAAAAGTTAAAAAATAAAAGTATTCCACACGAAACGAAGTGAACAAGTTTCGCGCGGTTCCTAAATAGTCATCCGTGCAATTCCACTGTTATCTGTATATATACACGTATACTGTCAAATAATTGCTCTTCAGTCCTCGCCTTTGATTGCATTCATATTCTTTCGACCTAATACAGTGGTACCTTGAGTCACGAATAACTCGACCCACGAACACAATTTCCGAACAAACTTTGACTCGACCTACCTACAATGCCTCGGCGCATGAACGCCTAAACATGACTTTGGGGCAAGCAGACAAAAGCCCCCCCCCCCCCCCCCCCCCCCCCCCCCCCC